CAAAAATGTAATCACTACTTGATGTACTGCCAAGACTATCCAAACCCTAGAATATGACCATCATAATTAAAAATCAACTAATTCTGTGCAAGTATTTCTCTCAAGCAAAAAAACAATAACGAGTAGAGAAGTAGACATATAATAACGATAATAATGCATTGTTAAATTGATTGGTTTTCATACTGTATATTTAATTTTTATAGTTCCTTTGAATGCTCAAAACATTCCAAATATCAAAATATTCCTTACTTGAAGTAAGATTGGCATTTCTCAGGAACATCAGTTCCTAAAATGCACCAAGAAAATAAATAGGGTGGTGATGAGGGGAAGAGGATTGTCATAACCTTAAAGGGTGTGAATCTGCAGGCCTTTATTCCTGTATTAAAAACATAGTACAGTAGGCACCAATCTTTGTTTATGCCTAGCATTTTTCAAACTCCTTTGAAAAAGAAAACTTCCCTTTTCCCACTGAACACCCTTTATATAAAATAATATTTCTACAGAAAAAGTTCCCACTTGTTCTGGAAATGGCCGTAAAGTATAAAATCGAACTCATTTTCTAGGTATTGATTTTAACATTTAACTAGATTCTATTGGGTTATACATACATTGGTTATATTTTTATTTTATAATTTTCTTAATTAGCCTTGGGAAGTTTGAATTTCTATATCATTGATGTTTTTATTTACCCTAAGGCCCCTGAGAAATAAGAGTTTTACATTAGATTTATCTATTATTAAAAGAAGTATACAAATATTATATAAACCAAAACCAAATTTTACCTGTAAGTCAGAAGAGGATATCGAGCAAAACCTCAACAGCTGTAATAGTATTTTATTATTATTTTTTTTTGGCGGGGGAGAAGGGAGCTAATTATATGGAATTCTCAATTCTACTGCAGGAAAAGAAAAGACTTTGGTACTAGGACAAGGTAATATTGTTAGAATATGGATTTATATAATGTAAACTTTGGTATAATAATAAATAGAAAGTGAGCAAAATAAATTTAAAAAACCCTAAAGATCAGAACATTATTTAATATAAGTAACATTTTAAAAATTAAATATTTGAAAATATGTGAAATCTAATACTACTAGAAATTAAATAATTGGAGAGAGAATTAGTTGACTAGGTCAGAAATCATGTATATGAATCGGGCAGTGGCGATATGAGACCATTGTGCAGAAATTTGGAGACAGCTCTTTGAGTTTTTTTCCTCATCAAATAAAGAGTGGATCCTTCTCTTTCCTAGTACTGAATGCTCCACCTTTTGAAAACTATTGGCCATTAATTTTCTAACACCCTAAACCAAACTGACAAATGGAGCCAAATTCTCTACCACATCTGTGCTTACCAAGTTATTCAGAGGGAGGGCAAATGACTGATTCTGGAAGAAATTAATTGTACCGAAAATCCTTAGTGAAATGCAGTTAAAAAGGAACCTCAGAGAAAAATTTGAATAGTATTCTGTAGTTTGTCTGTATAAATATTAAACAATTTTCTTAGAACTATTACTGTGTTGAGGAAAGCAAAGGAGTAATTATGTATAATTTGTTAAGTATCAGAATTGATAAAGGAAGCACAGCTATAGAATCAAGAATTTAAATTGGAAAATAAGAGAGGCAATACTTTTGTGAACTTGTGCCTTAACAAGAAAAAAATTATCTTTTATTGTTTTGACTATGGAAAAGGTCTAGAAACAATGTTCCATAGGGCAGCGTCCAAATTGCTGTTACTCATACAATTTCTTTCCCACTAAAAGAAATCAGGGCTCACTGGGGAAAAGTCTGATTCTGTGTGTTTTGCAGAAAAAAACAAGATGAGTCTGGAAGATTTTTATGAGCCAGAAAGCAAGGATATTTTCAAAGATCAATGGGTCATGTCAAAAGCACATAGAAGCCAGCCTAAAAAACACTGCCATCAACTAAAGCTGAGAAAATTTGAGCATCCTAAGAAATATAGTGGCTGTAGTTGAATAAACAAACACAAAATCTGAAAACTATAAGTTCATAATGATACACAGAAAGAGAAAAATTAAAATATTCTGAAAGAAGATGAAAATAATAGAATGTATATGTCAGGCAGTTTTGTCATTCAATTGTGTAAGTATTACTGAATTATTTATTATATGACAAGTAACAGAAAAACGATTAAATCAATTTGAAGCATTTTTGGACTTAAAAGGATTATTGTTGAAATTACCACATATAGTGACTTCCAGATAGATGAAACCACACACAGTGTCCAAAATTTAAGTGGACATATATTTAAGTATTTTTAAGAGTCTTATGGTCCTAAGTATATAATAGATGCAAGATTCCACCATGTGCCAAGGTCTTTGAAGTTACAGTTCTTAGGATTCTATCAAGTCAAAGATCTAGACTCTTAACTTGAAGTTTGATAGACTTCCTTAAACTTGAATGAGAAAAAGATTACATCTTTAATTTTAACCTCTATGTGAAATTTGACATTCTCTTCAGTTATGAATGTAGATCACAAATTACAGTTGTATTAGCAGGACTTGTGAATGTACATTACAAATTACTGTTGTATTAGCAGGATTTGTGACTGTCACAAATGACAGATATTATAATCCAATTGTTGCATATATCACAACATATTATGCATACTAATTTTAATTATGTTAAATAAATTAAAAATATTTTATCATAAATTTGTTTTTTAATACTTGATAAAAATATTTGAATATAATTTATTTCCTCTTTAATCCTATGTACTTTATTTTATACATTTAACACTATTAGAAAAGTTCATAGGCTTCACCAGACTGATGAATAGGTCATTGGTACCAAATAAAATTAAGAACACCTGAGGAAGAAAAAAAAATCCTTTATAAAGGCTTATCAATTTGAGTGGGAGTTGCAACATTTTTGAAGTAGTCTTAATAAACTGAATCCAAGGAAGTGAGCTAAGTGGATATTCTCTTCCTAAAGTTAGTAGTTTTAAAACAGGGCTAAAAATATTTTGGCACTCTTTTCATTCAGAGCTGTGGTCTATGCGCCTCCCTTTGAATGTAGGTAGGCTTGTGACTGACAAATAAGAAGTGACCATAAAGGACTTCAGAGACTTAAGTGTCGAAAGGCAATTAATTAATCTTCTTCCTTGTTCTTTGGGACACTTGTTCTTGAAGGCGTTAGTTGCCATATAAGGAGTATACCTATACTGGGGATGCCATACTGTGAAGAAACCCAAGCCACATGGTGAGGCTTTTAGGCAATTAGGTCAGTAGTCTTAAGTGAGCCTAGCTGTTGCATAGTCCCAGCCCAAGTGCCAGACATGTTGGAGAGAAGCCTTCAGATGATTCCAGCACCCAAATTGTTTGTGTTACCCTGAGCCTTCTCCTTCTCAGCTGAGGCCCAAGACATGAGGGAGCAGAAACAAGCTACCCCTCTGTGCCCTGTCTGAATTTCTGACATATAGAATATAGATCAAAATAAAATGGTGGCTGTTTTATGTCACTGAGTTTTGGAGTGATTTGCTAATGCAGCAAGAGATGAATAGAATAGGGTTTAGGATGAGCCAAACACTAATCTAGTTAGTTTTATGACATGAATCTCTCTTAGTAGATAATGTCAATTGAAACGAAATAGACCATGAATAGCCCAAAAGCCAATCCAATTTTCCTGAAGAACGTGCAAGTTGCAGTTCAAATGACTGTAGAACTCAGACTATAAGACTGCCTAGATGGTCTCAGATCATATAGAATCATCCTGAGATAGCCCATTCCAGCTGTCTGGAGGCTACGTTGCTATCTCTGTCCAAGAGTCGTTTCCATTCTAAGTTGTTTTTCATGGAATGTGTAATACCAGGCCAATACTGGACTTGACACTAGCACAACATGCATTTGATCTAGGATGAGTAGGCCTCTTTAAGGAATTTAGAAGGAAGAACTGCTTAGTTGCCTGTTGGCTGAACCCTGTGAGAGTCCCTTGGACATGCCTATGAATATTCAGTGTCTGGATCTCTCTTGTCATGATTTAGATAGCTCTTCTGTTCAACACTGCAACACAAATCATACATCCCTGGACAATGAGTGATGAGAACATCAAAACTTTCCCACCAAGACATGGTGAGCACTCACAGATACTGAATGAGAACTTAGACTTTGATTGTGCTATGGGTCTTATAGTCTGTCTATCTTATATTCATTTGGATGATGGACTGTGTGAAGAAAGAGAGCAATGTGATTTATTTAAAGCCTTATTTTTTCCTTTTTATTACGTATATTTTCTACAAATTCTTCTCAAGCCTAGTGATTCAAGATTTGCCATACAGAAAGTACCCTAGAAGTGTACTTTGATTATAAAAACATTTTAAGCTTATTAAAATATGTATTTATAAAAAACTCATTCTAAACTATGTTGAGATAATATATATGCATATATGTATGCATATATATGTTTTTATATTTTTTGATTTAATGATCTACTAAAAACCATGGCGATACTCAATTTAAGATCAAATTAGGAAACATAGTTTTGTTTTTTCCTCTATTATATGTGCAACTGAATATAAAATTATATAAAATCATTTACAGGTCAATATGTTTATATCTAAAGCCCTGTTCTACCTTGAGCAAATTAACAATGTGCTTTGTGCAGAAGTTATTAAGGCCTTCAGAATTTTTCTGTAGATAAAAGAAGTCCAAAGAACTAAGTAGGACTGTAAATGACTTGAAGTCCACTGAAGAATGAATTTGGTTACACAAAACTTCTCTGGATCTGAAGATACCAGACATGGATACATTTTAGAAGACTTGAAAAATTAGAGATATGTGTGAAGAAATGATATTGTTGCACAAATAAGGACACAACTGCTTACAGGTGGAGCCTCTGATCGTGAGCCCCAGTTCTCAGAGGCATTTCACAAGAAACAAACAAACAAAAAATATGCTTTTACTTATGAGTAATAGCAAGTAGAGGTTGGTGAAATTTGGTGAGACTGGCTAAAGTAACTGTCAAAGAACTATAAATTCATACCTGTGAGGTAGGTGTTGTGTGAGGAATTAATGAAATAGTGAGAAAGGGGTTGAGACATATCTTCATTCAAATCCAGTTTCTCAGGTGAAACAACTCCATTTTCTTCTCCACTCAGATAGCGCATAAATCCATCCACTGATATCTGTCCTGGAGGAAATGAAGAGTTATGAAGAGTGTGAATGTATTCTTTTTATGGGTTGCTGATAGCATTTTTTTTCCCCCTGAAAGCTCTGATAACATCCAAAGTAGAAGACGGCAGCCACAATTGCATTTTTAATATGGATAAATAGTAGTCTATGATCATTCTGTTTCACTACAGTTATCTCCAAATGCCAGAGATAAAAGTATAGTTGCATGAGCCTCACTGGCTTTCAGAGGTTTTTAAATACCTGAACACCAATCTCCTGTTTTTAAATATAAGAATGGTTATCAACTTCATGGATGAATACCAAAAGTTATTAGTGCTTATCTCTGGGTAATAGAATACAGGGTGATTTTTCCAAATTTTCTATTATAAATATTAACACAAAATGGTTTCAACAACAACAAAAAACGTTAAGATGGCTCTCTCTTATGTATTCTATAAAAATTACTATGATAAAGGTAAAGAATTATTTCAATATTTAGCATTAGTCACCTCAGAAAGGTTATCACAAAAGAAAATTGCTAAGAATTATCTGAGTAAAATGAATTACGAATCATATTTTCTTCCATTTGAAGTAAGGTCATTCTAAATAAAAAATATAAAGATCTTTTTTATCAGCATTCTATTTTTTATTTCTTTATGTTGCATATATCCTTTTATGTTACTTGTATAATCAAAAAAGTTATTCATAAGTGGTTTTCTTATTTAAAATGAAGTGAAAAGGGTTATTATCTGAGTAAAATGAATTATGAATCATATTTTCTTCCATTTGAAGTAAGATCATTCTAAATAAAAAATATAAAGATCTTTTTTATCAGCATTCTATTTTTTATTTCTTTATGTTGTATATATCCTTTTATGTTACTTGTATAATCAAAAAAGTTATTCATAAGTGGTTTTCTTATTTAAAATGAAGTGAAAAGGGTTTTCAAAGAATGATCTTTTTTCCTGAAACAGAAAATAAATATGACCACAAATGAGTTTGTTCTAGGAATAAAAAATCAAATGCTGATTAAAAAGATCTTTATATTTCTTATTTAGAATGACCTTACATCAAATGGAAGAAAATATGATTCATACTCCATTTATTTCACTCAGATTCTACTTAGCAATTTTTCTTCTGTGGTAAACTTTCTGAGGTGACTAATGCTAAATATTGAGATAATTTTTTATCTTTATCATAGTAATTTTTATAGAATACATAGCCATCTTAATTATTTTTTTGTTGAAATAGTTTTATATTAATATAAAAATGGTATATGTTCACTGAAGAAAAATTAGGAAATGAAATAAGCAAAACTTTTTCTAAACATGCTTAACTCTTCTTTCAGAGGTAACTACTGTTAAAATCTTGGGTATGTATGCTTCCAGAGGAAAAATATGTGAGAACGCGTTTATAATTACTTTAGAAGAATGTAATAATAGATAGATTTAGTAACCTCCTTTGTTTATATTAATGAAAATACATTATGAACTCTCTCTTTGTACAAACTCAATTATTTTTGTAAGATCAATTCCTGGAAATCGAATTGGTTAAAAGAGTATGTATATTTTTAAGGCTTTTAGTACACATGGCCAATTTGCTTTCCGTAAAATTTCTAGCAATTCACTCTTTCTTCAATCGTTTTCCTTCTCTTTACCCCTACACCAAACTCATAGGTAAAAAACATGATTTCTAATAATTCTAATTTTTACAAATTTGAGCATTATTTTATTCTTGAATGGTAAGAGGCATACATCATCTGTAAGCAGCAAAGCTAGTATTGATTATTTCCCACAGTGTAAATCTTTTTACATTCATTAAATTTCTCAAAATGACTAATGAGTACTTTTCCTAATTCTGTAAACATTATAGCTAAGTAAACTTTAATATTTTCCAGGAATAAATAAACAAAAAGAACTTGGGTTATTGACTCTCGATGAGAGGAGGTGAGTTATATAAAATGAAAAATCTTCCTAAACGAACTTTTAAATGGGTACAATTATTTATACTATGAACATCTTACAAATCAACTCTAATACATATCCTGACAACTGTAATAATGACAAAAGGAAAAAGTGCTAAGAAGGTCTCTTGTATTAGAAATAAGAAATATGACAAAAAGGGTCTTCATCTCGGTATGTTTGTATGATCAATTTTTAATAGGTGCCTAGTTTATACCTCCAAATAACCATCACCTAACAAAGTGATCGTTCCAATCATGCTGCCAGTGATGAGAGCACTTTGATTACTGCCTTTGAAGCCTTCTTTAAAAAATTCATTTATGGCAGAATGCATATATCATTTCGGACTGGTTTCAATTTTTGAAAACAAACCAAAATCAATACCACTTAGGGTCAAAGCTATTTCAGTAGATAGCTTTTAAAAATAACTTGGGTATAAAATTCATTTAGAGGTAAATTTAAAAAATATATAATTTCTTCATAGTCTTCTTTTTTTCCTATAACAAGTCGATTTGTTATCTTCTTCTCAAACGAGTGTCCATTCCTCTCTCATTCCCTCCTTCCTTCCTTCTCCCCTCTCATTACTTTCTGTTCAACAAAGATTTATTGGACATCTGCTATGTGATAAAAAACACAACACAGTAAAGCAAAGCCTCTGCCTTCAGAGCCCGTAATTTAATAGGAAATAAGACAATTCACACCTTGAAAACCAGGCGTGAGCTCCTCTAAAGCAGGGTATGCATTTATGTCTTTGTCATCCCTGGAATCTGCCACAATGCTTTGTGTGCAGTAGGTGTTAAATCAGCACCTCTTTTTGATAATTTGTTACTCAGAATAGAAAATAAATTGTTTTAAACCTGGAAGTCACCAAGGATAGCATAATTTTGTTAGATATTTTTTTTCTGATTAGGTTAAATCATATGAAATTGCTAATGCTTAGTATTTTTAACCTATGCAAATGACAACTTCATACAACTCAACCTCTAACTATAGCTATTCCTCAGAGAACCAGCAGTAAATAACAAATGTCTTTAAGGGCTAGCAAAAGAAAATAATGTGAGTACTGGAATAAGGTGTGCATCAAGGAACTGTGGGGTGTGGAAAACTCACAAATGCAAATGATAGCAATAAAATGTTGTGTGACCAAAGGTACCATTTTTATAGTGCTGGATTTGACCCTGAGACAATCAGCTTGTGTCATCTTGTAAAAATAAATACTCTTTGGTCTGATCAACAACTTTTAAAAGCAATGAAAACAAATATGCCAATATGGCAGAGATGACAAATTAATTTTAAATTTAGCATCAATTCCCATTTATTGCCTCTAGTGCCTTCTGGGTCCTTGTGTTGAAAAAGGTTCTGAACCCTGCTTGTGATTAATTTTGATGTCTGTCATGGGTATAGGACAGAAAAGTGGGGGTATATAAGAAATATATTTGTTATCCTTAAATAAGCATATTATAATTAAAGTCAAATTGTAATCTGCAATGCGTCAAAGTTTTATTTAACTCATCAATGAGGAAACTAGAAAGATGACAAAGCCATTTCAAAGAAGGTTATGAGAGACTAATATATACATATATGTGTGTGGCAGCAAATAAATAAGAAACCCCAAATTTTAGAAAAATATTGCAAAATTGAATACAAAGCTGATTAATGTCTTGTAAGTCAAAAAAAATATAACCTTTGGGTTATCTTCCCTACTTTTGTTATTTCACAGGAATTGAAAATTTTAACATAGATAATTTTTAGCATAGATTTGAATCAGAGTTCAGAATCAGTGTTTATGAAGATTATTTACAATTAATTATACTAAATAATTTAAAAATCCCCAGTGACAAATTTACCCAACCCAGAATAAAAACAATGAATAAGTTTAGAGTACAGTTCAGAATATGATTGCAGACTATAGGTAAGCAGACACCGGGAACATCTTTCAACCCCAAAGCTTTGCCTTGCTAACTAAAAGAACAAATGAGCAAAATTGTGATGCATCAAATGACTAAGCAAAGATGTACCAAAGTCAAGAAAAGCCTATGAAAACGTAAGGGTAAGAAGTAGCCAGTTTATAATTTCCAAAGTGTCGCCTAAAGAGTTTGGAGTTCATATGCAAAATTGTAGATGTTTTTGGCATAATGAATTAGCCCTCCAAATAGATCTGACTAGTAAAGGCTTTGGGACAGAAAGTAGAACATACAGAATTTTCCTTTGTTGGATATAACCTACAGCTGGAATATTTGCTGCTGCTTATATTAAATGCCTCAGTCCTTTTCCACCAACCTTGCACTATTTTTGCGAAACTGCTTACATTTTTTTTCTGGTCCACTGAGGAGCATAGAAGAATGAAAACATTGAGAATTAAGATAGAAAAGTATTGCTTTTCTAAACAAATTAATAACAGCAGAAAAAATCCAGCTTCCCTTACTTCCAGCAGTAACTGATCAAAGACAAATTCCTTAATCGTAGGATGAATAAACTATATGGGCTCTTAAGTCTCCTCTAGCTCTAAATTCCTATGAATTCAAGTGTTTATATATATTAGGGATGATTACTAGCTAAAACAAAACATCCCATATTAAAATGAGATTATGAAACAACAAACCACAATTTAAAGCAATGCTACAATTTCTGGAAAAAAAATCAACAGGAAAAGAAGTTCAGAAGGATATAGCCAGCTGACAAAAGCTAAAAATAGAGCCCATTACATATTTTCTTAATAAAATATTGTTATGCTTCTAACTGAATATGTAGCTCATATAACGGCACCTAAAGATCTTCATAAGGATGTATATTGTTTATACCAGTTAGAGACAAAGTAAGAAAAATATAAATCCCTCAAGGAATGGAAAAAAACAAAACAAAAAAAACAACCCTGTTCTGTGAAGCTTTTCCATTCAAAAGAAGTTCTGGTGTTCAACAAAAAAAGAAACTAGTGATGCAAAAGTGAAAAGATCTGACTTTAATGGGGAGAAACAATCTCCAAAGAGACACAAAATGATGGTCCCCAATGGCCATTTACATGTCTCCTCATACTTCAGCAATATCTTTGCTGCAAAGA